CACGGGCTCCGTCTTGTGGCCCGCGGAGCAGACAGGTTCATTGCGGGCCCCGGGCGAGTAGCCGGCGGCTCGGAGTGACTCCAACCCAGGGGCAATGCTGTCCAGTAAGGAAGCAGGCTGTCCCTGGGAGATAGTGAGGGTTCTGTTACGGAGGTGTGCAAAGGAAGGCGGCGAGCTCCTTGACAGACAAGTTGCCCTGGGGTGTGAAGGGTTGAACTGAAAGATGTTGAAGATCTGCGCCCAATCCTGACTACGTTCTGAGTCTGGGCTTTCTTAGAAGTTTGGTAGGCGTTTATTTTTTCGCCCAAATCTGAGCACACCCGGTAAATTGTGAGAGCACGATAAAGTATTGTCTTCTCTGAAAGACAGGAGGGGTGCAGTTTAGCAGCTGTAGAATGTCTGGAAGAAGCCAAAGCAAATTACAGCTCAGGAATAGGTTTCTGAATTTCAGGCCGTTTTTATGTAGCCCCTTCTTCTTAATCCTGACTCTCATCCCCGCTGCACGGAGGGAAGAGTGATATATCATGCTCTTTTCGTTGCTGTGGGGCCTGGCAGGACCTGGCACAAAGGTCCATGGATGTTAATGATCGGATACTGGGCAAACACTGAATGTGGCAGTATCCTGCGTGCTGGGTTTGATTTTTGGTTCTGGCAATTATTAAATGTGATTTGGGGCAAGTAAATTATTTTGGCTGTACCTCAGTGTCCCCCTCTGTAAAATGGGGCTGGTGAGAGGGCTGTCAGGATGAGATGGTTAATGCTTATGAAGCTCTTAACACAAGTGCGTAGCACCTCAGAAATCTCAAATGTTTGCTGTTACTGTTTGCTCAGTGATTGCTTGAGCCAAATGTTTGTGAGTCTTTTTCCACAGTTGAGTGGAATATTATTCTGGAAAGTGTTGAATACCTTTTGTCAGTATTTAAAATGGTCAGTCTTGAGAGAATGCAGGAAGTGGTCTTTAAGAATTGGGTTTCTCAGAGATAGCCAGTGAATTCAAGATGAAAGCATACTTCTCTGGCATTTATCTATATTTTAGTTACAATTTTGGAATTCATAGGTGAAATGGGGGCAAATATCCAATCCCTCCTGACTTTCTGAGCTTTAGGCTTGAGGGACTATAGACGACATACCTACTTCATAATATCTGTTTAAGAGTTCTTGTTTTTAAGAATGAAAATTTCAGATGTGCTTAAAAGGACGGAAGATGGTATGACACCTTCTACCAGTCACCAAGATTTAACACATATTAATATGTTACCATGTTTGTTTCACATTTCTGCTTATGGTATGATTTTTAAAAAAAATGTTAGCTAAAGCCTGAAAAGCCCCATTTTTCTTTTCCTTCCCTCCTTCTCAAAGGTAACTACTTTCCTGAGTTGGCGTGGAACTTTAGATCAATAAACAACATACAGTAATGTTTTATACATTTTAAAAAACTTACAAAAATGGTACCCTACTGTAGCTAACTTTTTAGAATTTGCTGTTTTCCTCTAATGTTCTGTTTCTGAGATTTATTAATATAGACAAATACAGACATAGTCCATACATTTTAATTGCTGTCTGGTATTCCATCATGTAAAGAATCGAGTTTTATATTGTTTGGTTTATGTTGTACTTCATGCAACTTAAATTTGTCCTATTACAGTTTAAGTCCATTTTGCCACTCATTATTTTGCCATTCATTTTCTATACTGGTCATGGGGACTCTGGTCATAGTTCTCAGTATAAAAATGTATCTTTGGGTATGACCTCTTATCCAGAGCAAATAGGAATGTATACTGGGCTGAGAAAAAAATTAATTTTGTTTCCGGGGATTCTGTTTGGAAAAGTGAACTAGTTAAGATCTGTTATGTGGCCTGGTGTTAGGTACTAGATTTAAGGTTTCTGAAAATCAGAGACAGGGTCTTTCTCAGTTCTGTGTCTCAGCTTTCTTTATAGTGCTCCGCACAGAGTAGATACTAAATGTTTGTGACATTGATTGTTTTTACTTCTGGGTCTCATAACCCTTCATATATTTAAAGAGATGATGGCCAGCAATTTTCAAAACTTTGCACTTTTAGTTTTGATATTTCCAGTGCCTTTAGACTTTCCCCTTTTTACCATTCAATTCAGAAACATAAAAGCATTTTGAAAAGCAAGGTATGCAACATCAGTTTGTAGAAAGTTATCAGTTGTATAATATATGCTGTATGTATTTATAAGCAAATACATCTGTATTTATATATGTATGGTTTACCTATAAAAGTATAGATGAGAAACTAGTAACTCATAGCTTCCAGGGAGAAGAAGTATGTGGCTGGGGAACACAGATGAGAAGACTGTTTGCTATATAGCCTCTTGTGATTTCTCAGTTTTAAACCATGCAAAAGTACTCCCTAAGAAAAAAATTAAGATTATTTAAAAAAACCCCAAACTTCTCTCCTTAAAGAGGCATTTTACCATATTTTAAAGATTTAAGTTCTTTCCTGAAGAAAACTTTGGTCTTAGTAACATTTTTGCCTTTTCATAGTTTGTTTATTTGGCTAGCTTACTTTGTTTTGGTAGAATAACTTTTGAGTTACTTGGTAAATACTAAACATTTTAGTATTGCGAGGCAGAGTTTATGTTCTTTTAAAATAAAAACAAATTGACCAACCATGAATGATTTGCCTCACCCAGCAAGTTGAATATCACCAACAATTTATTCAGCTCAAATTTAATGATCAGTGAAGGAAGGATTATGTATAAGAACATTTAAGACAACCATTTTTGGAAAAGTATTTTTGTCTTTAATTAGGTGGTGCTTAGATCTAGTGAATACAACTCTCTTGACAGAATGCCTATATCATTATATCATGAATGCTTTCTGTTGGGTGGAATTAGCTTTTACTGGAGATTGTTGAGTTCAGAATGGGCCTAATGATGGGGCAGTTTGTGTGCTCACAGAAGTTTGAGCCTAATAGAGATGAGATGGCAGCTGATGAGATTTCCAGTGGGTTTTAGAGTTTACACTGATCTAAAGGGCAGCGCCCCTTCTACTGGCATCCTTAATCAAGCTTCTTTGTATTCCTGATTGCAAATTCTAAATATTGACACACTTCCTGAAGCAAAAGCATTGAATCTGTGAGGTGGAATTTTACATTGATATAGAGAAGTTTAAAATGCTCCATAAAACATCTCATATTCCTGATTGCAAATTCTAAATATTGACATACTTCCTGAAGCAAAAGCATTGGATCTTTGAGGTGGAGTTTTACATTGTTATAGAGAAGTTTAAAATGCTCCATAAAACATCTCTTATCCCTTGCCCCTGATTTTTACTTTGGAGGGTATAGATGGCGGAAGGGAGGGCGGGCGTGGGCAGAGAAGTTGAGCAAAAGTATATATGTTCAGTAGGGCCATAGTGCTCAGAGGAAGGCAGCAGCTAAAAGGGGTGAGGTGAAGAGGAACTGAAGCTTAAGTAGAGGTTTTAACGAAGAGGCAACGCTTAGACTGAGTTTTGAAGGAGGAGGAGGAGCCCAGGCCAGAGGGAAAGGAAGTTTTACCTAGAGGTGCATACGTCTAGAAAGGCACAGAGATTTGGAGACTCACTGGTTGAACGCAGGTACTTGGTATGGCTTTGGCACAGAGTAAGGGTAATTGTAGGTCAAGGAGAAGTGGTTGGAAAGATGGGGTAGGTCCAGATCAGAATTTGGACTTTATTCATAGGTTGTGTATTCTGTTGAGCATGATAATCAAATTTGTGAACTTTGGAAAGATCACTCTGAAAGTGTGTGGGAGGCAGGTGTTAACAATGGTTCAGACCTAAAATGAGAGGTTAGACTAGGGGGTGTCCTGGGGGATGAAGAGGAGGAGCTAGATTTGAAAGATATTCAGGAGGTGGAGGGGCGCCTGGGTGGCTCAGTCAGTTAAGCATCTGACTCCATCTCAGCTCTGGTCTTGATCTCAGGGTTGTGAGTTGAAGCCCTGCTTTGGGCTCCACGCTGGGCATGGAACCTACTTAAAAAAAATTCAGGAGGTGGAACTGACAGGGTTTAGGAGGTACAGCGTAAGGGACAGAGAAGACAAGGATGTTAAGGGTCAAGGCATTTGGATGAATGGAAGTTCATAACTGAGTTAGAGAACAAGGAAGGAGGAACAGAAATGAGGAAAATAAGTTCGGTTTGGGCCATTGACTTTAAGGTGTGTATGGGTCAGGAGATACCTGATAGGCATTTGGAATTGTCAGAAGTTTGTAGGCACTGGCTATAGGGACTAATGAGGCCTTGAAGGTAAGGTTTTTTATTTTACCTTTCTCTTCCTCAACACTAATCACAGTGCTTTGTATATAGTGGGTGTTTAGTGTGAGGGTGAATAGATCTTATCCCTTATAAGATGTGATCTTGAATCTTGGGGAAGTAATTTCCTCTCTCAAAAGATGTGTTTCCCTTTCTGTAAGAGAGGGAGTTGAACTAGATCAGTTGTTTTCAGTAGTCTGGTATGTTGGGATCAGTTGTGAGGTATGGTAAGTAATTTCTAACTAATAAAGAGCTGATGTTTGCTTGCCTTTTAAATGGGAGCTGATTTATGTCACTGTTTCTTAATTGCATTCCAGTGTGTTTTCTTAAGTGTGAGAGAAAGGGGTGGAATTAGTTGGCAGGAATTTCCTAGCTCTGGATATACCAGTGGGTGTGTCACATAGCAGCAGCGGTGGAAAAAAAGGTTAAGAAGCACTGTATTAAATGGTGGCTAAAAGGCTTGGAACTAGGGGCGCCTGCGTGGCTCAGTCATTAAGCCTCTGCCTTCGGCTTAGGTCATGATCCCGGGGTCCTGGGATCACATCGCGCTCCCTGCTCCGCGGAAAGCCTGCTTCTCCCTCTCCCTCTCCCCCTGCTTGTGTTCCCTCTCTCGCTGTGTCTCTCTCTGTCAAATAAATAAAATCTTAAAAAAAAAAAAGACTTAGAACTAGAAAATTCTGTGTTTATGTCTAGGATGTATCATTCTGATGATAAATAATTTTTATTTTTGCAACTTTAGGAACTCTATTTTAATAACCTCTCAAAACAAAAGAAACAAGTCATGGAGAAGAATGGGAATAACAGAAAGCTTCGGGTTTGCGTTGCTACTTGCAACCGTGCTGATTATTCTAAACTTGCCCCGATCATGTTTGGCATTAAAATGGAACCTGAGTTCTTTGAACTTGATGTGGTGGTACTTGGCTCTCACCTGATAGATGACTACGGGTAAGATGAAAGCAATTTCTTACGATATTCTTCATTGCAACATGGTGTACTAGAGAGAGCTTGGATCTTGTGGCCGTGTGTACCTGTCTTCAAATCCCGGTTCTCCCTCTTAGTTTTTATATGGCCTTGGAGAAGTTGCATCTTCAGGTTCCTCGGTTATAAAATGGAGCGAAAACCTGTGGTGTAGTTACTGTGAAGAATGGAGGTAGTGATAGGAAGTGGCCATCGCAGTGTAGCTGCTTAATAGGTGCTTGATAAATGATAGCTATAAATATTTTTATTATTACTTGTTACATTCAGGAGAAATGCCACTTATATGTTGTGTGACTCTAATAATGTAACTTCCTGTAATATGTTTTGTGAGTTCTAATGGTACTGCTTTCTTAAAACTCGTGTATAGATTGACAGCATATAAAGTAGTAGGTATGAAACAAGATTTTAAAAATCTAATTTACAAGATAAATTAGAATGTTATATTGCCATTGGTATTTATTTTGGTGTTTGTCATTAGGTTTGTTATTGATCACAGTCTAAATTTGAAAAATGAAAGTTGGGAAATCTTGGAACAGAATGTCTAAACCAAAGATGAACATTCATTTTGTTCTGGGTAATAAAGTGGTATTTAGTGCAAACTCTTGCGGCATAAAAACATCATGCAGCTTCCAAAGGTGGTCAGTAATACCGTATTATATATGAAAGAAGCTTGTGTTAAAGTAAAATTGCCTTTTCAGACTATTCTGTAAAAGCAAGGCAACAACAACAACAAAAGCAAACAAAAACCTGCCTCTAAAAACCAGTTTTCTCTAAGAAAATACTTAAAGAGTAGAGGAGAAACTCATGTATAGCTCAAAAATCCATAGGTTTAAAAATGTGAAATGAATTCTGGCTAAGAAAATCCACTGGGTTTTCTTACATAGGACAAAGTAGAAGAAAAATTTTAGCTAGAGCCTGAAATGAAGTGTAAGTGTGTTCTTTTGCTTCTTTGAGAAAAGTTTAATGGGAAGATGAGTAGGACAGAGGCTCTCAAGGAAATTGTGTTGCGTTTTCCTGTCTGCCACAGTAAGTAAGAGTGGAAAGGCAGTATTTGTCTCGTGAGACTGTTAAATAGGACACTGGACTGGTACTTAATGGAAAAGTCATGTAAAGTACATTCAAACATAAGTTGGTTGCTTCTGGGAGAGGAACTGGATGACTGGGAGACAAAAATGAGAAGGTAGCCTTTTCCCTAGAGAACCTTTTGTATCTTAAATTTTAAACCATGTGAATGTATTATCTGTATTTCAAAGACATTAAAACAGAAAAATAAGCTACCCTCTATTTCAACTACTTGTATACTTTTAAAAAACCAGCATTTTTATACTCTTTAAGAACTGGGTGAAAAAGGAAATCAAATAAGTAACAACAGACTAGTTAGAAATTCATTTGTTCATTTATTTCATATGAGTACGTGATACAAAATACTAAAACATTTTAGAGTAGTTTTAGGTCTACAGCAAATTGGAGCAGAAGGTACCGGGGTTACCCTGTATACCTCTCTGCCTCCACACATGCCTAGTATCCCCCATTATCAGTGTTAGCCCTCCACCTCCAGGGGTACATTTCTTTACGTTACATTTTGAGAGAGAGAGCGTGTGCGTAAACACAAATGTGGGGAGGCGGGTAGAGGGAATCCTAAGCAGGCTCCACACCCAACGTGGAGCCCAATGCGGGGCTTGATCTCATGACCCCGAGATCATACCTGAGCTGAAATCAAGAGTCCGATGCTTAACCGACTGAGCCACCCAGGCGCCCACCCAGGTGGTGTAAATTCTGTATGTTTGGACAAATGTATAATGACTCGTATCTACCGTTATAGTGTCAGAATTGTTTCACTGCCCTAAAAATGTGTTCTATAACTATCTCCATAGATTTTACCATCTCTATAGATTTGCCTTTTCCAGAATGTCATGTAGTTGGAATCATATAGTATGTAGCCACTTCAGATTGGTTTCTTTCACTTAGTAATATGCATTTAAGTCTCCCATGTTTCCATGTATTTCCATGGCTTGATAGCCCTTTTTTAAATTTTTTTTATAATTTATTTATTTGAGAGTGGGACAGAGAGAGAACAAGAGCAGCGGGGAGGAGCAGAGGGAGAGGCAGACTCCCTGCCGAGCAGGGGGTCCAGTGCGGGACTCGATCCCAGGACCCCGGGATCATGACCCGAGCCAAAGGTAGACGATTAACTGACTGAGCCACCCAGGTGCCCTTGATAGTCCTTTTTAGCACTGAATAATATTCCATTTTCTGGATTTACCATAGTTTACTTATTCATTTATCTACTCAGGGGTATCTTAGTTACTTCCAAGTTTAGGCATTTATGAATAAAGCTGCTGCAAATATCCGTTTTTCAGTTTTGTGTGGACATAAGTTTTTAGCTCCTTTGGGAAATACCAAGGAGCCTGATTGCTGGCTTGTGTGGTAAGAATATGTTTAGTTTTATTTATTTATTTATTTTTATTTTTATTTATTTATTTGACAGAGAATGAGAGAGAGAGAGCACATGAGGGGGGGAGGGTCAGAGGGAGAACCAGACTCCCTGCTGAGCAGGGAGACCGATGCGGGACTCGATGACCTGGGCCGAAGGCAGGTGCTCAACCAACTGAGCCACCCAGGTGCCCATGTTTAGTTTTATAAGAAACCACTGAGCTGTCTTCCAAAGTGGCGGTATCATTTTGTATTCATGCCATCAATGAGTGAGTGTACCTGTTGCTCCACTGTGCTTATCAGCATTTGGTGATATCAGTGTTCTGATTTTGGCCATTCTAATAGGTGTGTAGCAGTATCTGTTTTAATTTGCATTTCCATGATGACATATGATGTGGAGCATCTTTTCATATGCTTATCTGCCAATTTTACATTATCTTTGGTGAGGTGTCTATTAAGGTCTTTAGTTCATTTTTTTAAAAAATATTTATTTATTTGAGAGAGAGAATGAGATAGAGTACATGAGAGGGGGGAGGGTCAGAGGGAGAAGCAGACTCCCTGCTCAGCAGGGAGCCCGATGCGGGACTCAATCCTGGGTCTTTAGTTCATTTTTAAGTCAGATTGTTTAAAAAAATTTTTTTTAATAAAAAAATATAAAAAGGGGTGCCTGGGTGGCTCAGTTAAGCGTCTGACTCTTAATTTTGGATTAGGTCATGATCTCAGGGTCATGAGATCGAGCCCCATGTCTGGGTCTGTGCTGGGCGTGGAGTCTGCTTGAGATTCTCCCTCTCCCTCTACACCCCCCCCCATTGCGCATATGCAGGTGTGCACTCTTTAAAAAAAAAAAAAAAAAAAAGTTGTTTTACTGTTGAAGTCTAAGCCCATGGACCAAACAAATTCTAAGGGAAATTAGAAAAACCTTTTGAACTGAATAATAAATATTACAGTATATCAAAATTTGTGGGTAGAGATGAAGGAATGCTTGGAGGAAAAAATAGTTCGGTTGAAAAGGAGTTTAGAGGGGTGCCTGGGTGGCTGAGATGGTTAAGCATCTGCTTTCGGCTCAGGTCATGATCCCAGGGTCCTGGGAATGAGCCCCGCATCGGGCTTCCTGCTTAGCGGGGAGTCTTCTTCTCCCTCTCCCTCTGCTGCTCCCCCTGCTTGTAATCTCTCACCCTTTCTGTCAAATAAATAAATAAAATCTTAAAAAGGAGTTTAGAGAGGCACCTGGGTGGGTCAGTCGGTTAAGTGTTTGGTGTTTGAGGTTGTCCTTGGGCTCAGGCAGCCCCACATTGGGCTTTCTGCTCAGTGGAGCCTGCTTCTCCCTCTCTCTCTGTGCCCACTGCTTCCCCTGTTTGTGCTCACACTCTCTCTGTCAAATAAATAAAATCTTAAAAAAGTTTAGTTAGTGGTCTGTTTTCACTTTATTAAACAAGAACCGGATGAGAAAACCCCTAAGTAGAAGGGAGGAAATGATGAAGAGTGGAAATCAATGAAACAAAAGTAGATTAAGCAATAGAGAATTATACTTAAAAATATTAAGTTGACATTCCTAACAGAGCCTAAGAAAAAGAGAACACATTACCAATATAAGATGGCAAAGAAGATATCACTACTGATCTGATAGCCATTAAAAGAATAAAAGAATGTTAGGCCAACAAAGTTGGCAACAATTTATATAAACTGGACAAAATCCTTGAAAAAACACTGCTTACCAAAACAACACAGAGGGAATAGAAAATATCTATAGCCCTGTATCAAAGAAATTGAATTCATTATCAAACACTTCCTATAAAAATTTCCCATAAAAGCTATGTTGTCATTTATGAATTCTATCAAACATTTTTTTTTAAGATTTTTTATTTATTTATTTGAGAGAGAGCGAATGAGAGCATGAGAGGGAAGAGGGTCAGAGGGAGAAGCAGACTCCCCGCTGAGCAGGGAGCCCGATGTGGGACTCGATCCCGGGACTCCAGGATCATGACCTGAGCCGAAGGCAGTCGCTTAACCAACTGAGCCACCCAGGTGCCCTTCTATCAAACATTTAAGCAAGAAATAACATCAATCTTTTTAAGTTTTTAATTCCTGTACAGTTAAAATACAGGATCATATTAGTTTCAGGTGTACAATATAGTGATTCAACAATTCTTTACTCAGAGCTTGTTATGATAAGTATACCCTTTACTCCCCCATGACATATTCCCCCCCACCCTTAACCATCAGTTTGTTTTTTACAGGTAAGAGTCTCCTTCTTGGGGTGCCTGGGTGGCACAGTTGGTTAAGCTTCTCACTCTTGGATTTGGCTCAGATTGTGATCTCAGGGTTATGAGGTCGAGTCCTAGGTCGGGCTCCACACTCAGTGCAGAGTCTGTTTCAGTTTCTCTCTCCCTCTCCTGCTACCCCTCCCCTGATTCTCTCTCTAAAATAAATCTTAAAAAAAAAAAAAAAGTCTGCTTCTTGGTTTGTCTCTCTTTTTTTCCCTTTGTCTGGAAATAACACCAATCTTACATAGACTCTTTTAGAAAATAGAGGAGCAGGGAATTTTCCCAGATTGTTATATGAAGTCAGCATAATCTTGGGGCGCCTGGGTGGCTCAGTCGGTTAAGCATCTGCCTTTGGCTCAGGTCATGGCCCCAGGGTCCTGGGATCAAGCCCCATGTTGGGCTCCTTGTTCAGCAGGGAGTCTGCTTCTCCCTCTACCCCTCCCCCCACTCGTGCTTGCTCTTGCTCTCAAATAAAATCTTAAAAAGTCAGCATAATCTTTTTTTTTTTAAAGACTTTATTTATTTGACAGAGAGAGACACAGCGAGAGAAGGAACACAAGGAGAGTGAGAGAGGGAGAAGCAAGCTTCCCGCGGAGCAGGGAGCCCGATGCGGGGCTCGATCCCAGGACCCTGAGGTCATGACCTGAGCCGAAGGCAGACGCTTAAAGACTGAGCCCCTAAAAGTCAGCATAATCTTGATAATAAAACCTGACAGACATTGTAAGAAAAAAAATTCAGACCAGTATCCCTTATGAGCATAGACATAAAATTAAAAAAAAAAATTAAATCACATCCAGTAATATAAAAAACAGATAATACATCATAACCAAGTGGGTTGGTCTCAGGAAAATCAAGATAGATATAACATTTGAAAATCAGTGTTACTCACACATTAACAATAAAGGGGAAGCACATATCATCTCAACAGATGTCAAAAAAAGCATTTGACAAAATTAGTTATGATAAAAAAAAAAACTCATAGCAGACTTTGAATAGAAGGGAAATTCCACAACCTGATAAAGGCCATCAGTGGGAAAACCTATAGCTAACATAAAAGTAAGCTTTCCCCCTGAGGTAGAGAACAAGGTAAGGATTTTTGCTTTCACCACTTCTCTTCAACTTGTGCTGAACAAAACAGCCAGTGCAATAAAGTGAGAAATAGACAAAAAGACATAAAGATTGTCTTTGTTTAGAGAGATGATAGTTTTATAGGAAAATTCCAAGGAATCTATAAGATGACTACTACAACATCCATATGATGTAAAATGATGAATGTAAAGAATCTTTCATGATCTGGGAAAATATATGAAATGGATTAAATAGATTATACAGTTGTGTTCTCAACCATGTTAAAATGTACATAAAGTGGCTAGGAAAAAAAATGATTTACATTGGTATTGCTGAGTGGTAGGTTTAGGGACGATAATTTTATATTTTCCAATTAAAAATATAAAAATTATATAGAATTACATTATATATGTTCTAAATATATATATATATATATTTAGGGGAAAAAATCCATATCTTTTAAAATTATTCATAATAGGAAACCTTGAGGCATTGAGAATTGCTGCTGTTATTGAAGCATGAAACAGACTTGAAATTGTGTTTCATAGCCAAATTTTTTTAATTACAACAAAATTATTTGAGAGCGAGTGCAGGGGGAGGGGCAGAGAGAGAGGGAGCAGACTCCCTGCTGAGCGCGGAGCCAGACTCCCAGGACTCCTAGATCTTGACCTGAGCCGAAACCAAGAGTTGGCCACTTAACTGATTGAGCCACCCAGGCACCCTTCATAGCCAATTTAATGCTGTAAAATCTACATCTACATCCCATTCAGAATTATGGTGCATTAATGGTACAGTACAAATTCAGAAGATAATTTCCATCATTCAGAAATTTATAGTATAGTGACATGTCAGGTATCCTAATTTCCTTTTTTTTTT